ATTTACTAATCAATTAATCATGCTTAACAATGCATATCATCATTTCACTGTTGTATGTTTATGATATCACTAAATTTTTCTTTTCTTCTTTTTCTTTCTTCAATCTCTTAATTTTACTTACTCTTTCTTTCTTTTGATATTTCAATTGAATTATAAAATGAAGTGGAAATATTAGAAAAGACGAATTTACAATAAAAATTTTTGAAAAAACAAAAGAATATGAATTAATTTTTATTTTCAAATTAAAATTATTACATTTAATTGAAAATGAAATTTTTTTTTTTAGCTAAAAATTAATATTTAAATTTTTAGAATTTTGAATATTTCAAATGATAAAAAATGATGATGATGATGACGATGATGATAATGATGATAACAATGTTGATGGCTCATTATACGGAAATAAATGAGCATATAAAATGAATTGGAAAAAAAATGGATTATTCATTGATTGATCTCATGAGAATACTCGGGAGTACCGGTATAAATGCAAAAAATATTTACCATAAATCATCGAATCTCATCCGGAATCTTTTTTTTTTTTGAATTTTTTCATTTGAATATATTTTGCATTAAATGATTGATAATAATTTATCACTTAAATTTTTTTTTGAAATTTAAATCTATTATGGTAAAGAAATATTAAAATTTATTAAGCATATCAGAAAGGATCAAAATGTTTTATTGATGATAAAATATTATCAAATGAATGGATGATGCATTTTGAAATATCTTTATCAAATTGATCTTTTTAGTTTTGGAATAATTACTGCTTCAAATTTTATCTTACCATTACAATTTATTAATTTTGTAAATTAGATGAATACCAGAATTTATTTACCTCTAAATTCTAATAATCATTGAAATTTGCTTTTCACACTAAAAGATAATCAAATGAACTTTTTATCTTTTAATTTTTAAAAAACAAAAATATCCCAGTACTACCTAATTTTATTTGTACGGGAATAATTACTTGTTGAAACTCTATTTTTGTTTTTTAAAAAAAGTTTAATATTTGAAGCTTAAAATATTTCATAAATAAAAGATGGAAATATAAGTATATCCAGTGGGAAAGGTCAAATTTCATTTATTCGATATTTCAACTTTTGGTATTTCATCAGAAATAATTTGCAGTAATTATTCCAATTAAACATATTTCTGAGAATTGTAATTGTATTAAATTTAAAATTTGCAATAAGCAATGAAAGATAATGAAAGAATGTTTAAACTGTCAAAAATAATTTTTCTTTTCTCATTTTATGTATGAAGTTTATAAATTGTTGAATATATTTTATGCAGAAATTTTTTTAATGTTATGTTTTGTTGGTTTCTGATATTAGTTTGATATCACGTACGTTACGTAAGACGTACGTACGTTGCATAAGTGATGGATATATGATTGATGTCATTTCATTTTTTTTTTATCAAATAATCATTTTGTTGAAGAATGATGATATATACTTTATAGTATTATGATTCTATCTAATATCATCCAGTGATAATTATCCCAAAGAACGGGGAAAAAATTTTTTAATCTTTTTTTTTTTAAAACACATAACAATTTATGGAACATTTTTAGGGAAAAGTATTAATGAAAAATAGATGAAAGAAAATATTGAAACAATGAAAATAGAAATTAAAACAATTTTTAATTAAAACAACTAAAACAAAAGTTTTATGTTACCAAAAAGAAAAGTAACAATTAATAATTTGGCTAAAAATTAGTAAATGTAATTAAACAATTTAATCAAATTTATTAATCAATATATTCCTCAACATTTTCCATGAATTAATTTATGGGTGGTATTAATTATTATTGTCTTTCGTTTATAACTTTTCATCTTTTATCATTTTATTCTTTTTAAAATTTCATATCATATAAATTTTACAAAAACAAATATACTGCTTTTATCATATGCCAAACTTTCTCTCACTGCCCTTCCTTTCTTAATTTTAATTTTATTCTTTTGTTTTTGTTCTATCATTTTTTCTTAGATAATGAAATTTATCATTTCCAAATCTTTTCCTTTCTTTTATCAATTATCAATTGTTTTTCATTGCATTATCAACCTGCAATAAGTGATATGATGACAAATGGAATTGCACATTAAACATATAGTCAATAAATTTAAAATAATTGAATGCTGGATTAATTCTGGAAGAAATAGTAATTTTAAAGATGATAAGTTTAAAATTTCATTAACTTATATTTCAGCATTATTGATAAATCCAAATAATTGCCTTTTGTTTTTATAGCAATAAAATAAACAAGAAGAAAAAAAAATTCCATTTCATCTGTTACTTATAAATTTTAAATATATTATCATAATAATATGTTCATATTGGAAATTAAAATTTTATCGCTAAAAATTATTTGTTAAAAATTACTGGTACCATTTATCTGTAATATCAATATTATCATCGTTGTAATCATTCATTTCATTTCTTCACTCAATATTTTTTTCTATCCTTCTTTAATTTAGCTTTAGAAAATTTGAAATTATCAGATGAATTAAAATTATGCAACATAATAAACATTTTATGCAACGCGATGGAAATGATTTTGAAAATTTGTTGAATTAATTCTTCGGTATGAAAAAAAGAAATCCCAACTTATTTTCAAATATTTAGATTGAAAAATTTAAATTTTAAATTTCAAATTTTAAGCTTAAACTTTTTATATCAAAACAAATGTTCTTTTCTTTGCATGAGTATATTTTATGGAAATGTAAAATTCCTGTAAACTACTGCTAATATTGTTTAAAAATATTTTGAAATGTCGCATAAATATTTGAAATGAAGATAACGATAGTAAAATAATATTAAAATTATTATTACTATTATTATTATTATCATTGTTGTTGTTATTATTATTTTGCTATTATTACCATTATTATTATGAATAGTAATAATGAATAATGAATAACAGTAATAATAATAACGACGAATAATATTGAATAATGATAATTGATGAACGACAGCAAATAATAAATAGTAATAAATAATAATAATGGTAAGTAATAATAATAGTAGTGAATAACATAATAATAAAGGTAAGTAATAATAATAATAGTGAATAACATAATAATAATAATGATAATAACCTGCCATAGGTGTAATCAATTTTCATCATAACCTTTGTTTACTTCTCTCTGTAATGATTTTGTTTATATGTTTCGCTGTTGGTTTTTTCAATAAAAAAAGAGGAAATGAAATTTAAATTTAATTCCTGTTCACATTACATTCTACATGACATTCAACAATTGGTATTAAAATTATTTCAACGTTTAAATTCAATATGTTCATCTTATTTCTACCACTTAATTTACACAATTAATTAATATCGTCATAAAATAAACTCAGAAATAGCCGGTGTTAAATTTTAATTCATTGTAATATTATCAGGAATTCCTGAAATTATATAATTATCAGGAATTATTTATAGTTGAAAAAGTTTGCCTATATTCTTTTTTCACCTCCTTCCTCTCTTTTTTTAATTGTTCTAAACAATTTCGATTTGATATAATGACAGGTAATTTTTTAATTGAAACTTCATTTTAATTATTTATGTAATAGCTGGCACAAAAATATTAAATTTTTATCAAATTATCGGATGAAAAAAAAAGGAGAAAATTTTATGCTATTTAAGGAAAATTAAACAAATTTAATATTTAAGAGAAATTTTAAAAAGAAAATTTAAAACAGAAGAATTACAAAAAAATTTTACTGCTGTTTTGCTTATTTTATCTTCTTTTCCTTTCCATTATATCTGTCAATATATCAAATATCAAAGGAATTTACCGGTAATTAGGAGAGATTTTTTAATTACGAAAATTTAAATAATCAATCAACGAATAAATAAATGAATCGTTCGATAAGACAAAAAAGGAAGCAATAGGTAAAGAGTAATGGAAAATATCATTTTTCTTCATTTAAAAAATTCCACGTAACTCAATTATCATTTATGAAAAATTGATTTATTTCGATACAACTAACAAACTATGTCATACATATATCATTTCCGGAAAGAATGGAATGTTGCAGAAACCTTTAAGCATTATAAGAAATCAATATCTTAATCTAAATACGGAAAAGATTGATGAATAGAGATGTATAGCTATGTCAGGTAAATTGGTATAGTCAAATTAAACTTATGATTGTATATCATTACTGGAATGATCGAAAATTCTGATAATATAATTGTTCTAGAATTCCGGAAATTTTTTACTTGTGGATTAAAGATAGAAGAAAGACAGTTGGATAGATAAAAAGGAAGACGAAGAAATATTTACAATAGTACATAAGATATGTTAGCTAATTGATCCGTATCAGTAAAAATGAAGAGAAAAATTCTTTATCAATTCTTATCAATAGAGAATGATTAATTAATTATTGTTTATAATATCAATCATAAAAATATGATAGCTTTTTTTTGGAATTTCTAAAATTTTTCTTTTCATAAAATTTAATGAAAAAAAGTGGAAATAACATCAACGATATTATAAAATATTATTTATAAATAAAAAGCGAAATGTATATGCGTTTTTTTCCAACTGTTTTAATTTAATTACTCAAAAACAAAAAGAAATATAAGAAATGAAAATTCCACTTTTACATACCGCAAATTTGTAATTATTGATAATTTCAATTAATAATATTTCATAATATCTGTCAAGTATATGATATAATTGGTATACATTTTGGGTTAAATATATTTTCAATTATTATTGGCTTCATAATTTTTCCTTTTTTGAAATTCATTATAGCAAAGAAATTATTTTAAATATGATAACAGTATGTTAATAGTATCAATTGAAATCAATTTTTGCGAATTGATTTAATGCAAGAATATTTGAAGTATGTTAAGTTCATTTTAAATGTAAAATTTTCATAGAAAAGCTTCAAACATAATTTCAACATCATCAACATTCTTATTGTCATCATCATTAATGTTCCAATAATCGTTATCATCACAATCATAATCATATTGTTGTCATCGATTAATAATCAGCTTGTTCCAATGGAATAAATGGTGTTTGTCCACTATCTTCACGATCTCTTTCATGAGGCAAATTACGCTCTTTCTTATATTCACGATGTTGTCGTCTATTTTTTCGTGCAAAAAATATACGATCATGATCCTATAAATGTAATTATTCTTAATAATATATGTGATATTCATAAAAGTTGCAAAACTTCAAATTAGAAAAATTTAAACTTCGCCATCATCTTCATTATCATCATCTTTTACACCACATGATTCAGCAGCAAGTGATCTCAAATCTTCCGTATTATCTTTCCATTCCACCAATTTCATGTATTTATATTCTAATCTAAAATTATGAATAATAATTTAAAATAAAATTTATTGTTTAAAAAAAGAAATTTTTTCTTCATTTAAAAATTTAAAATTACGATTACATATAAAATATATCATGGATATAAATATCTTTTTAATAGTTTCAATTGTTTTATAGTAAACATAAATGTAACCTTCTATTCTTACGATAAGCCATAATAATGATAACACATAATGTGATAACAGTTAGAATAATGCTCGAAATAAAAAGTTCTAATCGTAAGGTAAATGTTGTACATGGCTCAATTCGTTCCTTTCGTAATGTATCCATTGATGTACAATAACTTAAATTCATTTAATATATATATATATGAAAGAAAAATTTAGTATATGTTTAAATTTCTTTTTACAAGGAAAAAATTGGATTATAAATTTACCTTGCCGGTATACTATGAACTGATTGCATCCCATTAATGCATTCACCTTTAATTATGCTGTAATCTTGATCCGTACAAATTGGACATGCATGTGATGAATATATGATAATATGATATAAACAACCATCACAAGTACCATCTGGACAATTAGTTGGAAGTTTTATCTGAAAAAAAAAGAGAAAAGAATTTTCCAGATTAATTATTCAAATTTTAATTAATTTAACAACAATAATTAAAACAGGTTAGATAACAAAAACTTATCTAAATTGATTTATTAGAATAATTTGTTCATTGTTTTATTCCATTTAAATTTATGATACGGATAAAATATTAATTAAAATACTCATACTAAGGGTTCGGTAATTTGTCGCGGATCACATTTCAATGTGATAGCTGTATGTACTCCATGTAAGCAAAGTTGTGTTGATGATTCAGATGAACCAAAGAAAAAATGTATATCTGGTGATTCATTCCTTGTATTGGTATTATTTTCTAAAAAAAAAAAAATTGTTTAATTATTGAATTTTTAATTACTTAAATATTGATTTAATTTCTTTTAAACTATTGTGAAAAATTATTGGACAAACCAATGGTATCAAATTCTCGATCGGTCAATTTGACATATTCATTTAATTCTCTTTCAGGTGTTATAGCCAAAAGTTTATTGGCAATTCTATAAAAACTATTTGTTACTTACAGTTTATTAATAAATTAATATAAATACTAAGTTAAAAACAAAAGACGAAATGAGAAAGAATAATTTAAATTTAAAAAAATTGAATGGAAAAATTAATGTTTCGCTTTTTTTCTGAAGGATCAAAATTTCTAGAACTTAAAAGTTTTGAAAATTTTTAATTAATTAAATTAATAGAAATAATATACATGACAGGTGAAATGTAAAAAAGACGTTGTGTAGTAGCATTTGAAGTAAAATGCGTTGGAAATGCCGTTGAACGACAAATGTATGCATTTATTGTTTCAATATTATCTTGATCCTATAATTAGTAATAATATTTTCTTTTAAATTATCATTTCTTTTTTCTAAAAATTTAACTTAATAATTTTGCAAAAATTCCAAAAATTAATTAGAATAAATTAATTAGAATAATTTTTGCAGGTGTAATTTTTTAATTTTTAAAATTAAAATTAAGTAATATATTTATTGAATAAAAAAAAGTTTTAAAATATAAAATAAAAGATTTTACCTGATTTGTTTCAATATTATAAGTTAATGAAGTACTTCCATATTCTGATGATGAATAAGTTTCTTTACAACTTGCACCATTTTCAGTTAAAAGTGAAATATTATATAAATGAAAATATGATTCACCCTCACGTGCGAATATTTTAACACCTTCGATCGTAAATGTTCTGAAATAAAAGACGGAATTAATAACTTAGTCATTAATCGAGTAAAAATTTAATTTCTAGTATGATATGTTGGATAAAGTATAGCATATGTGTTTTAATCAATTATAGGAATAAATGGAAACTTAAAAAAAACTTTAAAAACTTAAAAACTTCAAAACTTAATCAATTATAGGAATAAATGGAAACTTACTTAAAAACTTAAAAACTTTTGAACTTAAAAAACTTATTCCAAATATTTAACAATTTATTATGAAAATATTTATCATAAATTAAAAACAAAAAATAGTTTAAATAAATAAAATTTAATTAGAAAAATTACGAGCAAATTAGCGTGATATGTAGAAATTACAAAATTATTTCAAATGAATGAAATTAATTATGAAATTACAAAATTGATTTAGATATATAAAAAGTAATTATGAAATTGATTGAAATAAACAAAAAACAATTATTATAAAAAAAAAAAATGATATACCGGTTAAAAAAATAAGTGAAATTAAAATGATATGTTTTGTTGATCGCAGAATTTTCTAATGTTAACGTTCCATCTGATATACAACGGATACTATCATAAGAGATAAGATTTGTACCACATGGTATACAACTTTTAATACCCATTCGATCACTTGTTGTATTTAATACTAATCCATTTGGACATTTTTTACATTCATCATTCTAAAAATGAAAATTAATTCCTTTCTTCTTTTTTTTTGTTTTAATTTATCTTTTAATTAATTTTTTTTCATTAATCATATTTTATACTTTAACATATTTTATTAGTTGTATTATTTGAAAGATGATAAAAGAAATTGTTTCCTCATATCTCTCTGATTTAATCTATCCATCTATATAATTTAATCTAATCCATCTATCTATCTATCTATATATCTGTCCATCTGTCCATCTATCCATCTATCCATCTATCCATCTATCCATCTATCCATCTATCCATCTATCCATCTATCCATCTATCCATCTATCCATCTACTCATCTATCNTAATCCATCTATCTATCTATCTATATATCTGTCCATCTGTCCATCTATCCATCTATCCATCTATCCATCTATCCATCTATCCATCTATCCATCTATCCATCTATCCATCTATCCATCTATCCATCTACTCATCTATCCATCTATCCATCTATCCATCTATCCATCTATCCATCTATCCATCTATCCATCTATCCATCTATCCACCTATCCATCTACTCATCTGTCCATCTATCCATCTGTCCATCTATCTATCTATCCATTTCTTCATCTGTCCGTCTACTCATCTATCTATCTATCTATTTATCCATCTATCCATCTATTAAAAAGATTTGAACTGGAGAATTTAAAGGATTTAAAATTGAAATGGAAAAAAGGAAAATTTTTACTATTTCAGTGATGTATTCACCAACTGAACAATGGACACATTTTCCATTATATTTCGGACATTGTAAACACGTTGATGCGCCACCTGAATGTTCACCCACATTGGTGACATTAATCCGATAAATAAATGCTCGATCTGTTATGACATCTTCTCTTGTCGAACTACGTGATCTTAAAATTTTAATATAAAATAATGAATTTTAATTTTCAAAATTATAATATAAACTAACAAATTTTAATTCATATCTAATACATTAATTTAAATGATATTCAATTTACCTAATATTGCTATTCATTCATTTACTTAATTTACAATGATACAAAATTCATCCTTACTTATTGTTGATTGGATAATGATAATTGAATATTTGATAATGAAAATCAAAATTTACATACCTTATAAAAACGAATAAAAATTGTGTTGGATTTGGTGAAATAACTGGATAGGAATATGATTGATAATGTTGAGTACCACTAAAATCAGCAAGAATACGATAGTAAGACTGAGATGGTGCATCCTAAAATAAATGATTAAGGGAAAAAAAAAACTAAAAAACTGTTAATTTTTACATTAAAATATTTTGTAGTATATAAAAATTTAAACTTTAAAAATTTTATAAAAATTAAATTTAAAATATTCATTAAACAAACTTCAATAAAATATAGCACACAACTCTCATCTGCACATTTCATTTCAAAATCAAATGTAATGTGTGCAATTGGATTATGTAATGATGTTAGCTCGTCAAATGCAAGTAATGGATTTGAAAAGCCATCAGGAATTTTTAAGCCAAGTTCCAGTGCTATGCCTTTTTCCTGTGTTGATGAACTTTGGATCATACTTCCAGATGGTATCCATGAATGATCAATTCCACAACTCATTGAATCACCTGAAAAATAAAAGTTTAATTTTGAATACAAATTCTATACAAATTTTCTAGTTCTAACAGAAACGAATTAAATTCTATGTCAACGAAAAAAAACGAAATAAAATTCTAAATTTGAATTTCATGCAAATTACTTTAATTCTAATTAATCAGTTAGAGATTTTAAGTTTGAATTCCATGCAAACTATTCTACTTTGATGATGACACGAGTAATGAAATATTTATCAAATACCTTCAACAATATATTCACATTTGGTGAACATATTTGGTGGAAGTACATTCCAGATAATATAATGATAACCATAATTTGGTAATGTATCAACCGGACAACGATGACATTCTGAAAATGAAAATGATGAAATATACGACTTATACAAGGAAAACATATTACATGTACTATGATGGCTAGGTATTAAAATCTAAAATGAAGAATGGAATTTTTGAAAAAAAGAATTAACATATTAATATTAATGTTATTATTAATATTGTTAATATTAATAATAATAAAATATTAATATTCTATTAATATTAATATTAATATTAACAAAATATTAATATTCTATTTAATGTTTCATAATATTTATCGGATCCTAAAATAAATTTCTAAAATTTAAAATTAAAAAATAAAATAAAATAAATTACAAAAACCTTCGCCGTGTGAGTAATGATCCTTTTGACAAAATACGCATTGACCAGTTGAATTCAAATTCATTCCCGGATTACACTTCGGACAAGGAATTTCATTACCAGCTTCCGGAATCTGCATATATAATTGTTATCGATATGATATGTTTGTTTACCCGTATTTTTAATTCTAATTATAATAATCGTTTATTTCATCCAATTACTAATTGAAATATCCGGTTTTTTTTTCTCTTCACTGATTACAAAATTTACACATTTGTTGATTAAAATTTAAATAATAAATTATAAATCTGGAATTAAGGAAAAGGTCGAATAAAATTTAACCTTAACAGCACCACTTAAATCATCACGACAAACATTTGGTTGTACTTTGACAAACATCGTACGTGTTTTACCATTAACACATGGTTTTAGAACAGGATAGTAATCATTTAATGAACAAATTGGTCGATTTATGCAAAATGATGATCGAGAATCTGTGAAATAATCTTTGAATGATTTAATCATTTAAAAAAGATAAGATAAATTCGATCATTTATCATTTAATTGGGATAAGTTACGAATAATTGCCAAATAAGAGTTTCAGAGTTTTTAGAAGTTAATTAATAATAATCTTTAATCATTTAGCATTTATTATTGATAATTCGCAATAACTTACAAGAATATTGTGATATCGGACAACGAAAACATTGTGTGGATCCTTCAGGACTGTAATATCCGGCATGACAAAAATGACATTGCTTAGCTCCGGTACCACTATATGTTCCACCGGTACATTTACTACATTTTTGTACTTGTTGTATTCCTTTAAAAAAACAAGAAACATTTTAAAAAATATTATATCATCATGAAATGAATAAATTTTAATACTGCAGTTGCTTGAAACTTTTACACTAATCAGTAATGAAATTCAAATTGGAAAATTCAATTCACTATTTTAATTTAAGATTAACACAATTTCAGTAATATAAGAAAATGTTCAAATATAGTTTGGATATTACTTTAAAATGAGAGAAGCGATAAATAATTAATTAAAACTAAATGTTCTCTTAATTTTGTCAATCTAAAAATTTTTAATTGCGGATCATGCTAATGCAAGAATTGGTAGCTAATCTAATTTTCGCCAATGTAGTAAGGCTAAAACGAAATTATTTGATAGCCGATATTGTAAATCTAATTCAATAAATCCGGATATGGATAATTATATATTAGCATTTGGTTCCGTTACGAAACGGAAATTACATTTGATTAAATCAAACAGGATAATTCTAATGAAATTTTTCATTTAATTCAGGTATGTGATATTTTTTAACAAATTGATACCATAAATATCAATATGCGATATTATTATCACATCATTGTTATAAAAGGCATCCAAATGATGACTCATTACTGCCCAACTGATAATATTATGACCACTTTTTAATTCAATCCGATCACGATGCCAATCGTTACTATCCTCGGAATTTACCTTCTTTAAGTTATTTCCCATTAATTGCTTCATTTCATCTCTGTAATTAAATGTAATATATTTGTGAGTATTGTTTTAAAATAAAATTGAAGAATTTTTTTTAGTTGTTAAAATTAGCAACAAATACTATTTTATCTCAATTTTTCATACTAAAAGTATTTTCATTGAAATTTTTGAAAGTATCATTAAATCAATTAATTAGTTTTTTTTTAACAAGCAAAAGATATGCATACCTGTAGCTTCTACATTTCTCATTTCTCACGTTAACATTAAAAATAAGTGCACGATTATTACGTGGCAAACGGTAAACGTATTCCACGTAACCTGGACGTACCAAATCAACGCTATAAATAAGCTTCGACAAACATGGCGAAGGCACATATATCAATTTTGTATTTCGTACAATCCAACCTTTCCTAAAATTTTACTTCGTTGCATATAAACTATTTTGCAACCAAAAAAAATCATGATTATATAGATGTAAACTTGAAGCTTACTGTACTGGGCAATCCTCTAGCAATTCCATATTGGTGTCTGTGTTTCTTTCCGATAAAATATTGAGATTTTCCACTTCAAAATTTGATGGAATTTCATCAAATACATCATATCGAATGCCGCCACCCAAACTATACGTACCTAAAATATATTTAGAAATAATTTTAAATTAAAAGTTTTGAATTCCTTGATGAATATTTTAAATTATCTCAAAGTTTTTAATGAAATTTATGCAAACTTTAGTGTAGCAATTATTTGCCAGAAACTATTAATTAAGATAATTATTATCAGGAAACCTTTCGGACAAAGTTGACACTGTTGGGTTGTAATATCCAAGTACATTCCGGCATTACATGTTAAAGCTGAAAGAATGCAAACAATGTTGATTTTTGAGCTTTATTGATAATTAATTATGATTCAATCAATAGCATAATTTAATTTAAATTACAATTTATTTAGCTCTTAACATTGTAATCAGATTGATTAAGTAAGAAACAAAAGATTATCAACAATGAAAATTGTTTAACTGAATTAATTATGCAATAGTAATTCGATTAATATTGATAATACTTTTTTTATAATTAAAATTTTTAATTGTAAGAAAACAAATAAGAAAAATAAGAAAACAAACAACAATTCACTCGTATCGGTAATGGTACTCCATCATCACAATCTAAATTATTCATTTTTGGTACCGCAACACGCCATCGTTCACCATTTTCATCACATCCCGTATATTCATATCGAAAATCATCGAGAATACATTTCCTACCAAATGTGTATAATAATTGCATCCACCAAATATTCAGTAATACAATACCTTAATGAAAACAATCATTAAATAATCATCTCTTCCTTTGTTTTAAAAAATAGTAATATTAATAAAATTAATAATAGTTATTATGCAATCAAAATAATATAATACCAAAATTCATCATCATTTAGAATGATTGATAATCAAAGTATGATAAGCAAGTTATCCCAATAATGAGAATAAAATACTCAATATCCATGAATTATATTTAGTGCTGATTAATATTACCATTGATTAACCAGAAAATATCTAAATGATAATTTTTTTTTTAGATTTTAAGTTTAGCAAATATTTTATATCATAGAAAAAATTAATTGAATAAACTTAATTCAATACATATAATCATTGATAATACTACAACAAGCAACAATCAACGAGAATTCAGTAATACAATACCTTAATGAAAATAATCATTAAATAATCATCTCTTCCTTTATTTTAAAAAATAATAATCTTAATAAAGTTAATAATAGTTATTATATAATCAAAATAATATAATACCAAAATTCATCATCATTTAGAATGATTGATAAGCGAAGTATGATAAGCAAGCGATGAAAGATAATAATATATTTGAAAAGTTTAAAATTATTATATTTAAAAATTATTGTAGAAAAATTATCATAATATTATATTTAAGCAAGATGTGTAAATTATTGATTTGTTTTTGTTGAATATTTTGCATAAAAATATTCATTATAATAATGCTGTAACATTTATTCAAACAATATACTATAAAATATTTTGTCAACAAAAAAACACGATTTTTTCATTTCTTTAATAAATTTGATTAAATTTAAAATTGAATTAAAATAAAAATATTTGATCTAATAAATTGATTTAAAAAAAGTAGTTTGAAATATTGAAACTTACTACCATCTTCCAAGAATTTGGGAGACTTTTGACAAACTTTCAAATATTCAGCTAATATTAATGATTCCATGAAATGAACTGCTTCATCGTATATTTATAGTTATTTATATAAATCAATATTGTAGCATAATTAGTCTCATAAATTTTCACCGCCTTAATCGTTTATTGCTTATATTAGTAAAAGAGAAAGGAAGAAAGAGAGGGAGAGGGAGAGGGAGAGAGAGAGATGAAAAATTGATATTTTTTAAAATTAATGAAAATAGAAAAGGTTCAATAAAAAGGTTTGGGTAAAAAAAACAGAAAGGAAAAGAAGATGAAAGTATATCATCTTCTTGAAAGTATAGGCTGTAGGGGAAAATTGATTTGTGAAATTTGGAGCACTTTGATAGATTGTGGCCAATCAATTTAAAGCCTTAGCCAAGAGCCAAGTGCTAAGAGTTCAACATTTTTTCGCTCCTTCCTCTTTTCTCCTTCTTTTCCTCATTGCCTTTCTTTTACCTCATTTTCCTACCTTAGCATATTTATTCATAATTCTAACTTCAATTTTCTGTTTCCTTCTTTTTTTTCATGTTAAAACAACATTATTTTTTATTGTGATGAAATTTTTGAAAATCTTCAAATACGAAAATTAATTGCATCAATTAATTATGCGATCATTACTTATTCAATACATCATATAGTTAATTTAAATTAAAAAAATTAACATTTTAAAATGAGATAATTAATTAGTGATGTATTTTTTTCCCATTTGATAATTACTCAAATGATAATAAATAAAATGAAAATAAAATTGATAGCTCTGAATTCTTTTGCTATTTATGGAACAAAAAATTTTATAGTTTGTATCTTCTAAATTTTTAAAGTAATTTTTGAAAAAAAGAAATAATGAAAATATCTCAAAAATGGAATGAAATTATTTACAACGCAAAAAATGTATTTCATATTGATAGCAATATCAGTACTAAAATATTATTGTAGAAAGAGATTTCAAATCAGTAATGATTAATTGTAATCCGCAAGATATTAAATGATTGCAATGATAATTGCTGATTTAAAGATGTGATAAATATTACTTATGACATCTTGAAAAGTTTCATTTCTCAAATTAAAAATTGATTCGTATTCGATTGTTATGTTCGTGATTTTCAGGATATATTATGGATCGGGATCGATTCTGATGGTATCATCAATTCTTGATAACTTCTATATATGTATTAATTTATAAAAAAAAAAATTTTAGAACTTTGACCTATTCATTGATATATCAATCTAAACCATTGATTGATTGCAATTTTCAGGAAAATACTATATTAATACAAATTAAATTCAATTATAAAGTTGTTCCTACTCACAAATGAAATCTTTTATCCAAGCACAACATTTTGGAATAAATTCAAATCAAAAATTTTTGAGTTTAAATATATATATAGCTACATATATATATAACTCTTTTCCCAGATAGGAAAAAGATGACCCTAAATTATAAATTACTAGTAAGATATCTTTCAGCAAATAACAAATTTTAATTTTATAATTAAATAAACTTATACAATCTTATGCAACCCTTATCTCAGTGTTTAATGGATGTAATCACGAGAATAAACGGGTATATGAGAAGGTATAAGTTTAAAATTTAAGGGTCATTGAAAATCAATCTATGGAGCATCTATGGGTTACACCATCAATTATGCGGATTTTTGCTTGCAGTGAACAATAAATTCGTTAAGTTGTAATTCGATATAATGAACCATTACGTTCATTACGTCACGTCGAACATGTAAGTCTACGTGATGTAAATAATGCAATGCAAAACAAATAAACAGCAAAAAAAAAGTGAAAATAAAATATTCATTGCAAATGAATTCCAACAACAAATGTAAAAGTAACTGAAAATGAGACATACACCGATGCCGTGTATTATAAGCATTAGAGTGGCTTATACGAGCCAAGCTAGGCTCTTTAGGCTATTTCCTTTTTAGTAGTTTCACATCAGATGCTGCTACTCATCGATTTCAACGTTTAATCAATTGTATAATAAATGAGTCAATTCTTCGTTAGCTATTTCATTCAGGCAGATAGGCATTTCCTTTGATGTTTTAGCATTGTTGAAGTTTAACATAATGATTTCGTAAGTATGATATGATATTAAATTTGATTATATATTCTGGAATTAATTATAATGCATTTCACAAAGGTCAACATTCATTTAGGTATAAGTTTATAAACGGATACATTAATTATGCTAACATTTGTAATGATTCGGATTGGCAAAACAAAAACCGAATGCTAACTTCAAATTTCAGTTTCAGTTCATTTATAAATTTCATTGGTAGTTCCAATATGGCCGAAAAGTTTTTCAGTATGAATTTTGCAAATTAGTAAAATAATTTATATTTAAGTTATAGGTAATTTATAATTAATTTTCTTTTAAATATAATACAGAGGTATAAATAAACAAACTTGTTCTAATATTTTCTTTGAAAAAATATAGAACAACAAAAGAAAACAAAGTATACCAAAAGATTACAAAATATAGCTAAAGGCATAATATATTACCCAATTATAGAGGTATCACATAACTTGATATAATTAATCATTAACGTTTATCACCTGAAATAATTAAATATTTTCTTTTCTGATTTTAATTCAAATATATAATCAATCTATGCAAATTTCAATCGGAAATTTGATGAAAAATTACAAACAATTAATTTATTAAATTAAAAAGCAATGCAAAAAAAAGAGGTGTTTTGTTAAACAATGATTAATTAATAAGAAATGATAATATTAATAATAATAAATTATTTCGAAAAAAATTACAATTATTGTCTCTTTTTTTTTGTCGTTTATTTATATCGTAAATTTTTGAAAATATTTAAATTTACTTTTTCGCAATTTAAATTATTATCAAAATGATAATGATAAATGATAGAATGGATATAAATTTACCTGATTTAACCGTTAATTTATCACCTTTTCGAATATTGATAACGCTATCTTTTTCAGTTATCATATCATCTGTTTGTAATGATAAGATTTTTCCAAGTATATGATCATCATGATTAATTTGTGTTGCTCAATATAAATTATTATATAAATTATATCAATATAAATTATTAATATGAATTATTATCAAAATAATAATGATAAATGGTAGAATGGATGCAAATTTACCTGATGTAACCGTTAATTTATCACCTTTTCGAATATTGATAACGCTATCTTTTTCAGTTATCATATCATCTGTTCGTAATGATAAGATTTTTCCAAGTACATGATCATCATGATTAATTTGTGCTGGTGATTCATCAACATCATGATTATGAAAATGTTTTCGTGATGTATAAACCATAGGAATCTCAAAAAATTCTTTCATTAATATTTATTCTAAAATATATATATAATTTAGACAACAAATAAGAAAATTAAAAATGTTGAAATTCTTTCTTTTCATATATTTTGTTGACACACACACACACACAAAAAACAACAACAACTAATGATTCATTAAAATTCTTCGATGAATTTGATATTTTATATGTATAACATAAATATAAATTTTTTAGTTTCCAGTAGACAAAAAAGAAATTAATTCAATTTAATAATTAGTAATTATCATAGAATGTTTAACTTTAATAATTTAAAAATTAATTTTAATTAAATAACTTACTAATATGCTTAATTTAGAAATTAAAACTTTTTATAAAATAATTTTAATTAAATAACTTATAAATAATTTTAATTAAATAACTTACAAATAATTTTAATTAAATAACTTACTAATATGCAACAAGCAATAAATAATAAAAGAATATTGACGTAGTATCGCATTGCTACAAATTTCGAAGTGTTAACGTTTTCCTGCAATTTACAACGTTTTAAACAAATAGATAAAACATACACACACACACACACACATATATATATATACATACACAGACGCACACACACATACATACATACACGCACATACATACACGCACACGCACACGCACACGCACGCGTACATTTTGCACACACACACACACACACACACACACACACAAATATATTTACGCCCATAAATGATAAGAAATTAGTACAACAATTACGATTGTTCATCTTTGG